GACCTGGTGCACCCATTTAGCTCAGTATTGTTACAAATTTCAGGACATTTTCCCAGATAGGGACACATGGTATTCCTAGATGAGGCAAAACACAAGCAGCAATTTCAGCTGCAGAGCCCAAGAGAAAAAAACTACATTGAGGAAAAACTTCTCTGTTCACAATGGGGAGTAGGATTCAAGGAGACACCTGGATCACAGCCTTCCATTACTTAAAGAGGGATTATAAGAAAGATGGGGACAGACTTTTTAATAGGGCTTGTTGCAATGAGACAAGGGGAATGGATTTATACTAAATATTTTTTTTAAAAAGTAGGTTAAGTCTAGATATATGGATGAAATTCTTTTACAGTGACAGTGATGGAACACTGAACAGGTTGCCCAGAGAGGTGGTAGATGCTTCATTCCTGGAAACATTCAAGATCACGCTGGACAGGGCTCTGAGCAACCTGATCTAGATGAAGCTGTCCCTCCACTGGAGAGGGGCTGTACTAGATGACCTTTACAAGCTCCTTCCAACCTAAACCACGGTATTCAACATTCTGTATTCAACATCTGATGTGCTCATGGCAGTATCATGTGTGCATATTCCTGTGCTGTCCACAGCTAGAACAGACTGGGAAAAAAAAATATCCACCAGATGGCATAGCTGGGATAGTAGGAAGGAAAAAAAAATAACATGTAATAAGTACAAACACTGAAGCAAAAATAAAACCACTATCTTCATGTACACAGCTAAGCCTGATCTGTGATTCTGCATACCAGCACAAGAAGGAAACACTCTTTCAATGAATTTGGCTTTTTCATTTTCATGGTCACATACCACTCTAAGAGTCTTCTAGCAAACCTGTGGAATTCTGTATTTAAATGACCTGCAAATCTTTGCAGATTCCCTCATGACAGACAGTAAAACTCTAAGTGTCTCCAAGATAGTGAGGCACACATGTCAGAGCACCAGCATCTCCCTCATTCTTCTAGTAAAGCAACAGGAAGGATAATTTAAATCTGGCAGATGGTACTTGGTAGACAGAGATAAAAGAAAACACTGCTATGTTCAGACTTCATGTACACACTTGAGTTTTTACCTTCCTACCATTTCCAAACAGTAGTAATTTATAAGATATCACTAACTAATGGCCAAGTCCGAGACACACTGCAAGAGAAAGTCAATTCAAAATGAGATCTTGCCATTCCTAAATTCACCACTCAACCAGTGAATAGAGGAGAACTTGGTGTATGCAAAAGAACATGGAAATTAAAAGCTGATGTCATAGAAGACTATTAACATTCATTAATAGGTGAGTCTATGAAAACTCTCGCTAAACTCAACTCAAGAGTTAATAGATTTGGCTTTCAGCACTCAAAAGATCTACAAAGTAAGTAAGTACACATTCGAGATAAGCATGTGGACACACTCCTTGAGGACTGGGAAGATGTTCTTGAATTCTCCCAAGCAGCCCAGCTGTAAGCCACTTCATATTGATGTCTCAAGAAGAAACCAAAATCACAATTAAACACAAAGAAAGTAAGCCAATCTAAGTAGGTAATTCCAATCAAAAGGCAAGTTAATGTGTCATATAACCCAGAAGGATAGAAACAGTTAGAGTAACCTAATTAAAGTAGGAGCAAGAACTCCTGACAGTTAATATCACAGCCTAGAAACAGGGGTCACCTCCCAGCAACCCAGTGACAGCAGTGAAGTTTCCTACTGCTGTGGCTTTTGATATGCTGCCCCTGAAAAATTACATGTAGCCACTGAGAGACAACTGTAGCTTGTTATTCAAACTTAAAGCCAAAGCAACCAAAAAGACTAAATATATACTGCATGACAACATTTAAGGAAATTGTCTTTTTATTATTTCACTTTGCTTACACTTACACCACAAAAGCCATGTTAGATTATCCTTCTAAGTCAAAGTTGAAGTGTGAGTAATGGAGCCAAACAACTGGCTTTGAACAATTTAACTGGAGATAAAGAGTCAACAGAAATTTTTCTGTGCAACCAGCGTGGGGAGGGATTCATACTCACTTTACCAGAACAGGTCAGCTAAGCAACAGCATGAGCTCCAGAATGCGAGCTGCCAATTGAACAAAAAACCCAACCAACCAAACAAAAAAACTCCCAACCTTCACTGTGGAACAATGCTATTTGAACAACAGGTTAAAATGCTACATGCTAGCAGTGCAACAAATAAACGATGTTAGAAAGAGAGCAAAAATAATTGACACACAAGGCATTCCTTTAAACTGCTGTCATTTTTTCCAAACAAAACCTGTAAGAATTACCTATTATGTTTCAGACACAAGATGTTGTACAAGGCACTCCTCTAATGCTAGCAGATGACAAGCAGAAAGAAAGCACCCCATTCCCCTCGAAAGTCTTCATAATCTCTACCCAGAGTTAAAAACAGACTCAGAAACAGAAAAGAAAAATTACAAGCAAAGCTTAGTTCAGAAGTTGTACATACATATACCCCTAAAGGTTAAAGTACTATGGAAGATAAAAGCATGGGGTAGGGCTGCTGAAACACAAGGTAAGAACCATAACCCAAAAAGCTATGAAGTTGCAACACAAGTATTTATGGTGTATGTAAACTGTATGGAAGACATATTTTAAAATCTTCAGAAAAAAAAAAAAAAAAAGCAGAGCAATAGTTAAGAAGGAACAGAATGATCCCACTAGTTACACACCCAAACACTGCAGAATCCCCTCCTCATAAAGCACTCTATATTTAAATTACTACACTACTGTGGAACAAGTATCTCTCAAATATATTACTTGAAGTTTCTCAAAAACCCCAAAACCATAAATATAAGGTCTCCCCCAAAAATCTGCCCTAAAATGTCAACATTTACTCAGCTGTTTTTTAGTTTGTCTTAAAAACCTAACTATTAATCTGTGTTTCAACATCCAGAAAGAGTTTTATCTGCATTAACGATCTAAGAGAAACTTCAACTGATACTTGTTTCTTCATACCATACTACGCTGCACACCTTAAATCACAAATATAAGCACAACTGTTCAAAGCCTTTATGTGTTTTTAAATACTGCTTTTGCTGCTTTACGTTTTCACATCAAAAAATATGACATAGCAGCTACTAAGAAGTCCTTAAAGCCCTAAACCCCGTGCTTTGTAGAAACTCGACTAAACAAAACTCAGCCTTACAAAACTTGTTTCAGCTCCCAAACTATACATGCTCCATAAATTCCCTTCTATAAGCCTTCTGCAATATGATCCAACTATCTAAGGAGTACAGCAACCAAGGAAATGAACGGTGCATACCCCTGCAAGTACTCTCATCTCATCTCCAGCATACCAGGTATTTGTTGAATGTGGAATGAAAGATTAATGGAAGAAGAGGCCTAAGAAGACTAAACATTCACGACATAACTTAAATAAAAAGAAAATGCTAGCAATAATTCCTCAGCTTCTCCAAAAGCAGCAATAAGTGAGCTTACTTTAAAGGGCAAAATCACTATTTAATACACAGAAAACCCTGCACAGCCTTCATCAGCCACCCCTGAGAGCCACTTCTGGAGAGTGCCCCGTAGGCAGGCTGAGGAATGTCAGCGCGCTAAACCCCTCTGCTCCCACCGACCCTCACGTACACAGCACCCCGCACCTAACGCGGCCCGCAGACGTAATTTTACACACGGAGGACTGCGACTACAACCCGACCGGAGGGGCGGGAGGGAAAACGCCGCCCCGCTAGCGAGGAAAAGAGCTCAGCCAGCGAGGCGCCCCCAGCTCGCCCCTCAGCCAGGCAGCTGCAGCGGGGTGAAGAAGGGAAGATGGAAAACGAGTTGTTGTTTTTTTGGGTTTTTTTTTTTCTATTAAATAGGAAGGCAGCCAGACAGGGCGGGCACTCCCCGCGCACAGCAGCCCCTCCTCCCTCCGTGGGGCTGCAGGGCCGGAGCTCGGGGCACCGGCGGGACGAGCCGAGCCCGCTCCCGGCCGCCACCCCGGGCCGGCAGCGCAGGGAAGGCGCTGCCCCCGCTCGCCCCGCACCGCGCCGGCAGCCCCGGCTCTTCCCGCAGGGAGCGGCGGCCGTGCCCTCTGGCTCCCCGCGGCGCCCCGCTCACCTTCCAGCAGCCGGGTGATGAGGCTGTCCACGTTCAGCTCCCCGTCCGCCATTTTGTGGCCACCAGACTCGGTCCCGGGCGGGGAGAGGGCGGGGTGGAGGGCGCTCCACGGAGGAGGAGGAGCAGGGAGCGGCGGCCGCAGCGACAGTGGCTCCCCCCACCCCCCTCCGGCGGTCCCCGGCGGCCGCCCGGCTTCTCCCGCTCCCTCGCAGCTAAATGGGAGAACGCGGCCACCGCTCCTCCCCGCGCCTCCTCCCCTCCTCAGGAGCCGCCAGGGCGCATGTGCCGCCTCGCCCGCCGCGGCCGCTCCGCGCCCCGGCAGCGCGCAGGCGCGGCGGGCTCGGC